AAAATGCAGAGTACTGGCCTGTAGATGAGTGTAAAATGCAGAGTACTGGCCTGTAGATGAGTGTAAAATGCAGAGTACTGGCCTGTAGATAAGTGTAAACTGCAGAGTCCTGGCCTGTAGATAAGTGTAAACTGCAGAGTCCTGGCCTGTAGATGAGTGTAAACTGTAGAGCCCTGGCCTGTAGATAAGTGTAAACTGCAGAGTCCTGGCCTGATGATGTTTCTCGTCTGTGCTGCCCCATTCTTTTTAACAGTGGCTGTTTTGTTTCCTCAATGTATAACTGGTCACAGTCCTCCTGACACTTAACAGCATACACAATATTACTGTTTGTWCTGAGGAACTGGATCTTTAGGGTGAACCAGCACTAGTACTGATGTCCCACAGCAAGAAGGTCCTGGGTTTGATCCCCAGTTTGGACCTGGGGTCTTTCTGTGCGCAGTTTGCATGTTTTCCTCGTGCTTGTGTGGGTTTTTTTCTCCAGGTACTCCGGGTTCTCCCACCCACCAAAACATGTACAATAGGTTGCCTTCAGGCCCAGGCCTCCCTTGAAAAAGAGATCTGGGATCTCAATGGGACTTGCCTGGTAAAATAATGGTAAATAAATAACCAATCTTTTTCGTAATGTGTTTTGGGATTTGAAAGCCACTGGGACGTCATGTTTAGAGAATAAACATCTCAGTTTCTCTGAAATGCCCACAACATARGGAATGACGACTGTCCACCATGTGGAGGCAGTGCTTATAAGGCTGAGTTCACCTGAAGCTCATCAGACTGAAGAAGTTTGGAGGCGGAGCTTATAAGGCTGAGTTCACCTGAAGCTCATCAGACTGAAGAAGTCTCTTGGAGGAGAGACGCAACGTTTCATTAAAGAAGAACCCATCCAGAGGACCTACTTATTTTTTCTTTTTGATTTTTCTACCTGAATTACTGAGATGCATCAGGACAGTCTCCGATTAATGTTCCTCATTGTAAAATCAACAGTGTTTAAAGCTCTATCATGCAACGAAGAGAAAACTGTCTGGAAACACCACCATCTTCTCCAAGCCAAAGCTCATTTAAAGTGGACTGAGGCAAACTGAAAAACTTTTCTGTGGTCAYGTGAACAGTCACATCCTCCATACAAATTCATCCAGGCTGTGGTCGCACAGCTAATCAACCTCGTCCAAAACAAACCTGAGGAAAACCCAACCAGACACTAAGCTAAAATTTGGTGTGGTAGAGTAATCCTCAAAACATACTTCTAGCACTAACTAATCCAACATGTCATATAAAGGTTTACCACTAACTACTGTAGTTAGTTGTTAGCAAAAGATCTCATGAACCACTGAATGTGTTTTAATGAGACCATCAGAAAGTATGAAAATCTGCAACTGCTTACAATTCGATTCAAGATGGCCACCACAGTTAATCAACTTCAATCAAATTCCTCTGATTTATAGATATTGAGATAAGATTTGATGTAGTAGCAGCTGAATATAAAGCAGCTGGTTTAAGAATCAGCAGCTCTGAGTCTGAGGCTAAAGTCCTCAACAGGAAAACACAGTGGATTGCCAACTCTGGCCTGGAGATGAGCCACTGCTCCAAGTGAAGGAGGTTTTTTTTCCTCTGGATCTTGTTCACGAGTAGGGGGAGATTGAAATTTGGATTGGGACAGCATCTGCAGCGACGTGGATACTTTACTGGCCTTCTGTGGTGAAGATAAACGTGCTGAAAGACGAAGCTCTCAAAAAGAAAAAAATTGTYTAGGTCTTCTGGACGGGTTCTTCTTTAACGAAACGTTTCGTCTCTCCTCCAAGAGACTTCTTCAGTCTGAGAGTTTCAGGCAAAATTCAGGCTTTTGAGTCCTGCCTCCATGTGACTGATACTCACATCACATGGCTATCGTTGACACCTAATTAACACCTATTGTTAACAGGGGTGGAGTGGTACTGGCAATAGCAGCGCTGTAGGAGGGGGACAACTGAAAACGGAGGCCTCCACCTCTGTTTAATGATGGATGGTCTTTCTTCACAAAAATGGCTTCTTTTACTCCTCTCTCAAACCAACGTTCCTCTCTATCAAGAATGAGAACATCCTCATCTCTGAAAGAGTGACCGCTGGCCTGTAAATGAGTGAAAACTGCAGAGTTCTGGCCATTAGATGTAGCTCGTCTGTGTTGGGACATTCTTTTGAACAGTGGCTGCTTTGTTTCCCCGATGTATAACTGGTCGCAGTCCTCCTGGCACTTAACAGCATATACAARATTGCTCTGTTTGTGCCGGGGCACCGGATCTTTGGGGTGAACCAGCCTTTGCCATAATGTGTTTTGGGGTTTGAAAGCCACTGGGACATCATGTTTAGAAAATAAACGTCTCAGTTTCTCCGAAACACCCGCAACAAACGGAATAACCACTGGTTTGGGTCTGGGTTTGGGGTCTTCATTTTCACCTGAAGGTTGCATGGAATCCTGTCTGTGTTTCCTGTCTGCTTTCAGGAAAGCCCAGTCAGGATAACCACACTGCGAACGAAGCTCTCAGTTTACAAATGTATCTATGTTCCAACCCCAACACATGGTCTAATTCAAAAAGGATGTACAGGGTGGAGTTTAGCTATATTCTGAAGGCGTTTAGAGAAYAGTCACTGATAATCCTCACAGGAACCAGCTGAGGTAATCTGAACGTAACTTCCAAGGTGTTCCAGACATTTACACAAGAAGCACACCTTGAGTCAGACCTCAGAGAGATTATAAATATGAGAGATTAGATGTGTCTCCCAGTTACTCTGGGTGCAATTGAAGTCCCTGTAGATAAAGTGAAGGAAAAGGAAGGTCTGGTGATTTTAAGCTGTTGGCAGTCACCTGTTCAGTCAGAAAACGTGTCTAAAACCTCACAATAAAAACAGCAAACATCAAATCTTTCTGATTTTAAACACTTTTATGTTGTGAGTTTTCTGATAATTCTTGCAGGGAGGCTAGGATTTTGTTAGGAGTAACAAATTATGATCTGGGGGACTTTTGTCAMTAAAAGTGAGTTCTCCATTTGACAGTCTGATACATGGAGGTCCAGATTACTCTACTTGTGTGAGGTTGGGTCATGTCAAAATGTTTACTTATAACACACTATTGGGTATATTTGTTAAGAAAGTGTTAAATACGATGTTTCTTTTGTGCTTATATTTTTTCTCCCATTGTCCTACTAAAAATGATGTTCGATACTGCCAATTTCTTTCCAATACTTATACAAAGTAAAATTTGCCTGGTATTGGCGATACTGAACCAATACTGATACTTTGTGACAACACACATTATGTGTCTGGTAAATCTTAAAAAGCAGTGCTTTTCAAAAAACCGCTTTAAAAATAATACACGACATAGTAATTTATTTAATTTAAAAGTCTTTCTAGCCCAGAAGAGCCCAAAGTGGGGCCCGCGGGCCAATTTTGGCCCGCCAAGCCATTTGATTTGGCCCACCAGCAGTTGTCCTGGTTATTGGACTATAATTATGTTAAGATTAAATATAAAATACAAGTAACTACAAGAGACATTTAATTAGATTTAAGACCATCTATAGATTTTCACAGCTTATAAGACCACATTTACTCATTTTAAATTATGAGAAGTTTCATGAGCCTTTGCTGCCTGATCATACGTTGAATTTTCTCCATGTCCATGGGCTGAAAAAAAACAAAACAAAACAAAGGACGTGGGCAACCACACTGGCTGCTAGCTTAATCATAAAAAATAAAACAACTTTACTTAAGTATTAAGCATTTCTTATATTATTGCATTTGGCCCGCGGCCCTCAGATTGATTTTAATTTTGGCTTGTGTGTTTGCAAGAAGGTCCTTGGGCAGAGCTAATGCTGTTTGGGGGACCATGGCATGAAAAAGTTTGGGAACCGGTTAGTTAATTGTCATAACAGTCAGACGAAGCAGATTTTGTGTTTAAAAAGTAGTTCCCTCCAACCACACACGATTAAGACAAGATTGTAATAGTTTAGATATGTTCCACTATTTTCCTGTTAATGATTTACACGATGTGGAAAAACTGTCAAAGTATCGATACTTTGATTGTTAGTATCGATTCTAGAACAGAAAGTGTTGGTATCGGTAGTATCGATATTTCAGTATCGATCTGAACATAGCTAATTTTTTTGAATGTGTCACAAACGTGTCAGTGTATCAGTGTTATTGTTGGAAGCTGTACTTCMGTGCAGCATATGTCAAATAAGTGAATTGACACATCTTTCTACAAAACAGTTTTACCTCATGTAACAAAATTATACAGAGAAAAAGATATCGTATGGCCCGTACGGGGATCGAACCCGCGACCTTGGCGTRATTAGCACCACGCTCTAACCAACTGAGCTAACCGGCCATATGTAGTGGGCCTAAAAGACTTTTTTTTTTCGATTTCGCTCTGTGAAGGCTGCATAACACTTTCTGTTAGTTGGTTCGTTTATTTATTGCTCCTTAAAGCGACAGATGAACCTGTAGTCAGGGTCAAACAAACTCTGACGCGGGAACGAAGAAGCTTCATGACGGTCTGTTGCCATAGTTACCGTGGAAGAAGGCGAGACTGCTCACGTGACCTAGCAAGATGGCGCCTGTGTTGTAGAATGGGACTTGAGCGTGAGCGCTTCGTAGCTTTCGCCTGCAGCTGAATYACCAAACCGGTGCGTAACTTCACGTTTTCGTCAGCGAACTCTCCCGGTTCTGRGAAAGGAAATGTTTTATTTAGCAGCTAGGATGCGCTTAGCTCCGCTTTACGCTCGCTTAGTTCCTGCTAACTGAACGAATCCGCTAACGTTAGCGTTTAGTCTGATGAGTTATTGTTGACCGTTTCTGGGCTGTTTTCACCTTTTTATCTGGTCAGCATGCAACATTCAGTGGGAAGCATGTGTTGATCGTTTTATTRTGTGTGTCTGTGTGTGCCTCCCTTGTGCCAGGACTTAAATTAGGCGGGTCCAGTTCGGTGGATGTTTGGATCTGCTGGTTTAATTGTGGATCATATATCTGGTGATCAAGATGGCCCTAAATGTCTTTGGTAAGCAGCATCACACTATCAGATGAGTAAACTGCAGCCTGTGTTGATGTTTGTGTTTAGCTGAGGACTAAATGTTTTTCATGCCTTTTATTTGTGATGATATTTTTACTCCTAATKTTTAAAAGCCTGGAGCTGCAAAAACAAAGAACTTTACAATGACGTAGCAGTTTGAGGGAATTCATTTTACCCGCCAGCTTTTATTCCAGAGTTTTAAACTAAATTAACTGTTTGTTGTGATMTGATGGAGTTACAATAGCCCRTTTGATCAAACCTTYTAAATGACCTTAACATGCTTCACAAGATATTTTACTAACAGACAGAGTGGAAGCCAGCTGTTGACAGCAAAGCATTGTAAAGCTGTCCTAAATAGTTTGTATTGGGAATAATACTCAGCTACATCCAAACTGTAGCTTAATGTCTGAATTGACAATTTAACAACCGTTTTCTTTGTGGTGTCAAGTTAGGCTGTGGTGGCCGTATTGGCAAKTAAAGTTAATCAGTGATCAGTGTACTTTTGGAGATTTTGACTAAAATCCTTCAAACGCACACATAGCCTTTGCTAAAACCTTTGCTTTTGTCTTTGGTGGTGGTAGGGTTGGGCAATACTGGGGAAAAAAATTAACCACGATTAATTGTGGTATTTAGCCGATAACGGTTAATTTGACGATTAATCCCCTGGAGTCCCTGGACATCCTTATGTCCTAGTCACATGACCAATTTAGTGGGAAAGATTTGCTCTTCATAAAAATCTGTTCCAAGTTGTGTCAAAATTACAGTCTTCAGGCTATACATCAAATGTTAAATTGTGTTGGTAGATAAATAAATTACAGAACTTTTTTTTCCTAAATGTTTGTCATAGTTGAAGCAGAGAGGAGCATGAGCGGACTCTGCCTGCTGGCATTAATCGTATTAATCGCCAAGTGCAAAAAAATAGTCCATTAATGTTTTTCTGACGATTAATTGCACACGATACGATTATGCCCAACCCTAGGTGGTGGGCAATAACAATGTGTGTGCTCC